GAAGCGCCCCTGTGCCGGAGGACGAGGCGCGGGCGCCGCGGTGGGACGGGGCCGCAGGTGCGGGGCGCCCGCGGCTCTTCCAGAACCTTCCGCGCCCTCGTGCCTCGGGGCGCCTCGGTGCCCGTCGCCCGCTGACAGGAGCGCAGGTGGATGCGGCCCACCCGCAGCGGGCTGGGTGGGGGGACCCGAGGGGCGGCGGGGTCCAGGGAAAGCCTGTGGCCAGAAGGTGGCTGGCCTCGATGCCCGGGTGCTCCTGGCGAGGGAGCTTCTGGCCAAACGTTTCCCAGCCGGCGGTGCTCGGCACGCACCCTTGGCGTTGTACTCGCACGCAGCCATCAAGGTCGGCGGCAGAGATACCCTCTGTCAGCAGCGCGTCTCACGCTGGCGTCCAGCCGTGGCTGTGCCGGAAGCCTACAACCACCTGCATCCACCAAAGAGGGGCATTTGGAGAGCCTGGTGGTACGCCAGGCTTGTGTCGACAGTATTTTTTTCTTCCACAGCAGTGTCCCTGCGGGGGTACCCCCTTCCCTCACGCTCACACGTACCCCAGAGCGCCCAACACGCAGGCTGGCTTTAAGGAGACCGAGTTCACGCCAAGTTCTGCCCAAGCTTTTGAAGCCCTCATCGCTTGGCCTTGTCTGCTCTCGGAGAAGAGGGAGGCAGGGGGTGAGAGAGCAGAGCCATGGCTCAAGGGGAGGCAGGGAAGAAGGCAGATCTCAAGATTAAAAAACTCTAATGAAATATCTATCTATGAAATGCCAGTCCCACCCTGTCAAGAGAAGCCTCAGCATCTCACGTGGGAACCCCAGCCGTGCCCTTCCACACCAACAAGCAGGGTCACTTGCTTTTGCTCTGCTTGCACAGGAGGGATACCACAGTTGGTGAAATGAATCCCAGGTGCAGGTATTACTAACTGAAAAATTTTCCTAGCGCTTTCCATCGTGACTTGCAGCACAGCCAGCACTGGTAGTGCTGTGGGCCTTCCTTGTCTTAAGCAGATGTGAGTTCTGGGTAGTTCCCTACAGGTACTGTGCCCTACAGGCACAAAAAAGCCTATGTGGATGCTAGGAGCTGTTTTGTGTACCACTACAAATTATCAGCTGTTCAGGATGAATTGCTTATGCAGAAGTGTTTACACATATTCCCAAACTCCCACCCCCCAGTGCTTAGGCAGTAATTGCCAGTCAGCTGACAGGTATAATTTACTGCCTGGTGGTGCTTACCACATACAAGCCCTCCCTGGGTTACGTTGCTTGCTTTTTTTTTTTAATATGGTGTTGTCTGGCCTGAGCTTCTTCCTTGTTCTGAACAGGTGCCCAGTCAGTTCCAGAGGAAATCCAGATAGTTTGTAAGTGATGGTCCCCAATGGAGGTGAGAATGCCCAGGTATCCCTGCCGTACACACATGATCGGACAGCCGTTCCCACTCTCCCAGTGCACCCTGCCAGTGGTGGCACGGTCACGCATGAGCCGCCCTGTTCTCTTCCCTCAACGTGAAACCCCTACGCCCTGCTGCTCTACCAACACTCTACCTGCTTACAACACTCCTTTGCCAGAAAAAAGGAAACGCATTCAATCCCTGTTGCTGAAGTCTTTCTCCCTCACACGCAGAACCTTATGCAAATCCCCAAGTCTATATACTGAAATATCTAGTGCCGCTTTCAAATGCCAATATTTGATTCTCAGTTGGATATACATTGATATTCACCGCTCATACTCATTTCTAACTACATTCCACATGCAAGCCCCGCAAATACACATCTGCATGTGGCCAAGAAACCCTACCCCCCTTTTTTGTGAATCCCACCCACCCACACCCATACTTCAACACTGCATCTCAGGACGGTGCAAACTTAAGACTGAGCCTGAGTCCACTTATACCTGTGCCTGGGATTTGGTCTCACATGCAGAAACACTTATGCATGAGATCTAATAAACACACTCCCAGACAGGCGTTTATATATTCACTGAATGTGATCTGTATGCCTGAGGGTCTCTCATGCATATTAGCAACACAGATACAGTGACTATATCTATCTGTGTCTGAATGCCACACATGTATGGGTGTCTGGACTCATGCATCATGCCTATGTATAGCCATGCACACTCACTTATGCACTGACTACTGCATACATCTGCGACGTCCCATATCTTTGTGGGATTTCCTAATGCTTGCTGATTTTCTTGCTACTGATGTAGTGTGTCCGCCAGGTATGAGCTACCTTGAATCTCACAGGTTGTTTTTTTTCCTCAAAGCACTAACTACAAGTATCCAAAGATTGTAGGAAACTCTCATTTAATATTTAAAAGCACGTGGTTGTAGAGGAAGGTCTGAAAAAACATGTAGTGGCCATGCCCTAAATACTCAGTAAGGAAATATAAACTCCCCTAATATAGAATTATTTCTTTTTTTTAAGTAACAAGTGTAAACTTGACTTTTGAGAGGCTCAAGTTATGACTTTTTCATGGTGGAGGTTGGGCGTGCTACGAAGGCAAACCATCCTCTGCATCTTAGTGTCTTTCACATCCATCCCTATGCCAGAGAGCAGCACAGAGAGTGCTAATGAATAACATCACTCTTTCTAATAAAGCACAAGATAAAAATACATCCTCATGCATTCTATATGGATATGTAAATACAGAACCTATTCTGTGAAAAAGCTGTTGGAAATGTTTTATGGAATTAAAAAATGTCATGCAATATCTCATAGACTCCTGACAAAGAAGCTAGTCCAGCATGGCAGGATTAAGGGGAAAATTACTGCACTTTTTAAACCTCAAAATTACCATTAATAACCTCTCTTAGCACAACTAGATTGCACCTCAGTGATCTCTTTCTTATGATGGAATATACCTAGTTTTGAAACAAGTACTATGTGCACCATAGAAAAAACAATTCTCTCCTCTTAATAAAAGCTTTAATTTCTAGCTGTGATACGTTGCACAATATCAAAATAAAATCAAAATTTATCACAGGTTTAGGACTAGGATGTTGGCTGTCTTGAACTTCAGATCAGGACAGATTTTCAGAGGTGTTAGTAGAAAACAGAATTGCCTGTGGAAAGAGTAATTACACTGCCAAGTGTGGTTTTGTTTGCTTGTACTGCTGTTTGTCTATAGACTATAGACAGGGATATAGATACAGATACAGATACAGATATGTGCCTCTTCTCCCTAGTATTTACTCACCTTCTCAGTAAGATTTGTAGCTGAGCATTATACATTTAAGGTAACAGCAAGTGAACTAGGGAGTAAAAAGTCTGCATGGGAATATCTGGATGGCTCTGCAGTCATGGCAGTGATTGCGGTCCAGACATACTCCAAAGAGGTGATGGGAGTAGCTGGGTCAGAACAGTGAAATATCAGAAGTCATCGGGTCCCAAGGGAGCAGATGAGTGAGCAAAGCTGAAGTGAAAGAGATAGTATTAAGAGATGGAGCTGTTGTAAGCTTGTACATAGGGCTTCTGAAGTATCTGCCTGGGAATATGTCTCTTAGACACGTGGGCAGGGTTGCCGCTGGAGGAAGGATTGAAAGGAAGCAGAGCTGAGAAATGAAGGAAAAGTGGGACTATCAGGGTAAAGTGTGGGCCAAAGAGACCAGAGCAGGGACAAGTGGGAAGGAATGTGGAGGAGATTGTGATGTGGTGCTCTCAAACTAGGGCTAGGATCTAATAAGAGGATGTAAAAGAGAGGGCAAGGGGGAAGGGAGAAGTAAGAATGGATGGAAAAAGACTAGGATGGAGAAAGGGCAGTCTTGAAGAAGACTAGGACATTGAAAGATGGGGTAGCAGAAAGCTGAATGGGCTGTGCTAGGAGAGAGCAGGAATAATCACGTATTTCAGACCTTCTAATAAAACCACAAATCTCTGGATTCCCCACACCCACTCATCCCCTGCCACTAGCCCTCTTCTGTCAGCAAATACCTGTGAATCCCCCAACAAAGTAAATTTGTCTAATATTCCTCCTGTCCACACATGGATGACAAGCCACTGCTCTTACCAGTTCCCCTGTTAGCTCAGAGTGGCAGGGACCTCTGTGGTAAAGCTAAAGGCTTCAGCCCTAATGACATTTACAACAATATGATGCTGCATGATGGAAGGAAGGGGCTTGATTTTTTTAACTGTTTGCTTTTTTAAAAGCTAGATAATTGCACATATAAAATCTGCTTTAAATGAGGACTAGGTTGCAAAATCAATACTACATAATGAGGAGTGTTATTTTCTCCTTCCTCTCCTTTGCATATGCATATGCAAAGTACATAATTGCATACTTTTCTTTCCATGGGATCTCTGCCACAT